CGAGAAAATATTGGATGTTGTGACACGGAGATCGGACTTTGTATGACGGTCCGGTAATTGCACCGGGGGCTGTCATACTGGAGACAGCTTTTTATGCTGTGACTGCTAATGACACCCGCCCCGCGCAGCTGATCCACCATTATTTCTCACCGACCGCTTTTCCTATTGAACGAAAAATCCCCAAACCGAACGAGCCGCTTCGATACATCTTCCCATACAAGCTGCGTCTTTGGTTCAGTTTCCTCGTTAACACGTTGACTGTCACGGGAACTTGTATTTCGTACAGTACTACTTATTCTTTCGTAGCAAAGATAAATCGTATTACAATTATTAATGATTTCGCATAGCAGTTCATTGGTTATACTATTGTCCACTTACTTACGTTACTAAATATTTTTGTTCGATATCAGTTTTCGTGTTATAACTATTTTCAAGCAATAGCTCCGGTCATTGGTGACTACGTGGCAGTCAACGTGCTGACGTCTCTCGTGCATAGAGAAACAGTTCTGTCGAATTCTTAATCAAACGGAATGTCTGTATCTCGAGGTAAGAATATGGCTTGTTCACGATGTTCCTGTTACGTCGGATAATTCGGATATATTTACTCTGTTGTCGATGTAACAACCTGTTTGGTCTTGCTTAATATTCAGGAAAATAGGCTTCTTGGGACGTTGTTATTGAACGTGGATTGCGGGAAGGATCTTCAGGGGAGAACGCGGATTAAATCGGGGCGAGGTTTGTTTTGATACAGACTGGGAGTCGAGTTTGCGCGAAGCTACAAGTGTAAACACGAGAATATGTTCTTGCCTGTTTAGGAATCTTCAGTTGTTACTAAGTTCTTGGCAACGAAAGGATTATTATATAATTCATCGTGTATCCGTAATGCTTCGGTATTCAAAATTCCCATTTCGAAAACATAAACCGAATTATCTAACTGCCCAAAGAACCGCGATGCAATTTCACCCATAGTTTTTTACGTGCGCACAAAAAGATATTCCGAACAAAAACATAGGAACGAATTTCCGGTTGGCCGCGCGAACTTCGAAAGCCGAAATTTCTACGAAATCATGAACGTTATATAGCGGAGAGGCCGCTTTTATGAATTCCGAATCCACTTTGCCGCTCGTCGGTGCGCGACGGTCCTTAATCCGATCAATGAAACCGTCGCGTATCGGGGCTCGCCGTCGGAAGTGAAGAATGACGAGTGTCATGGATTTACGTCGGCAAATAA